GGCATATGTCACTTAGCATGATGCTCTCCAGGTCCATTCATGCTGTTGCAAATGGTAAGAATGTCTTCTTTTTTATAGCAGCATAGTATTCCATTGTGTAGATGTGCCAAAGTTTTTTAATCCATTCATCTGCTGACGGGCACTTAGGCTAATTCCAAATCTTAGCTATTGTAAATTGTGCTGCTATGAACATAGGGGTGCATATATCCTTTCTGATCGGTGTTTCTGATTTCTTGGGATATATTCCTAGAAGTGGGATCACTGGGTCAAGTGGGAGTTCCATTTTTAAAGTTTTGAGGAAACTCCATACTGTTCTCCACAGTGGCTGCATCAGTCTGCATTTTCACCAGCAGTGCAAAAGGGTCCCTTTTTCTCAGCATCCTCGCCAGCACTTGTCATTTGTTAATGACAACTATTCTGACAGGTGTGAGATGGTACCTCATTGTTGTTTTGATTTGCAGATGATTAGTAACTTTGAGCATATTTTCATATGTCTCTTAGACTTCTGTAGGTTCTCTTTCAAAAAGGATCTATTTAAGTCCTTTGCCCATTTTTTTTATTATTCATCTTCCTTTTGTTCAGATGTATGAGTTCCCTGTAAATTTTGGAAATTAAACCCTTATCAGAGATAACATTGGAAAATATGTACTCCCATGCAGTGGGCTTTCTTGTTGTTTTGTTGATGGTTTCTTTTACTGTGCAGTAGCTTTTTACTTTGATGTAGTCCAATTTGTTTATTTTCTCCTTAGTTTCCATTGCCTTAGGAGCTGTATCAGTAAAGATATTGCTACAACATATGTCTGATATTTTGCTGCCTATGGATTCTTCTAAGATTTTTATGGTTTCCCATCTTATATTTAAGTCCTTTATTCATTTTGAGTTTATTTTTGTGTATGGTGTAAGTTGGTGGTCTAGTTTCATTTTTTTTTTTGCATTTGTCTGTCCAGTTTTCCCAACACCATTTATTGAAGAGACTATCTTGACTCCATTGTATGCTCTTCCTCCTTTGTCAAATATTAATTGAGCATAAAGTCTTGGGTCAACTTTTGGGTTCTCTGTTCTGTTCCATTGGTCTATATGCCTGTTCGTGTGCCAGTCCCAGGCAGTTTTGAGAACATTGGTTTTGTAATATAGCTTGATATCTGGTATTGTGATCCTTCCAACTTTGTTCTTCTTTCTCAAGATTTCTACGGCTCTTCGGGGTGAGATTTTTTTAAAATGCCCAATAGCTACTGATTCTGCCTAAGGTCTTATCACAGTGCTTCATAGGAAGGACTGTGTAGCTTCATAATGTGGAAATCTCTTCTCACCTTGAATTATAAGCAGGAAGTGCTTCTTTCCCCCCCAAGGCCCCTCTGATGGTTTAGCTTATAATAAAATATTATTCCAGCATCAGAGAACTCTCAATAGAACCCTCTTACAGAGCCTGTCATGTAGCACACACTCAGGAAGTAGCTTTTGTGGCTTGGCCTTAGAGAATCACAGGCTCACAGAAAGGCTAGAGCTGCTCTGTGTGATTCGCTAACTAACAAACACTTGCTGATTTAAGGGAGACAGTACATGTGGTCATTAAAATCACAGCTTCTAGGCTCAAATAAACTTGGGTTCAAATTTCAGCTCTTCCACCTGCTAGCTGTGTGACCTTGGACAATGTCCTTAACCTTTCTGTGCCTCATCTGTCAATAATCATGAACATGGGTAATTATTGTACCTCTCTCATGAGTTTTTTGGACTACAGGAAATGAGGTTCACAATATCTAATGTATAATAAATGCTCAAATAAGGGTGAACTAGAATTAATAGCTTTTTGAGAGAGGAGTCACAACCCATACAGGCAAATGAAAACTATTGAGAACAGAACATGTCCAAATAAGCAAGAACTTTATAGCCAACTAGAGGCACAGATTTGTGCACCAGTGGGGTCCCTCAGCCTGGCCTGTGGGGATTGGGCCGAGGCTGGCTCTCCAACATCCCCCGAGGGGTCTCGGATTGCGAGAGGGCACAGTCCAGGCTGAGGGACCCCACTGTTGTAAGATCGGGGCCAGGGAGGGACCGCAGGAGGGCTCTAGGGTGTGTCCAGCCCCTCTAGCCCAGTCCCCATTGGCTGGACCCCAGCAACAAGCTAACCTACCAGTTGGAGCGTCTGCCCCCTGGTGGTCAGTGCATGTCATAGCAACTGGTTGAACAGTTGAATGGTTGGACACTTAGCATATTAGGCTTTTATTATATAGGATGAAGCCAAATCAGAAAAATAGGCTAATGCTATAGAAGACAAGTCTTATGAAAAGGAGAAAAGAAACTGTCAGCAAGTATTGGGACAAGCTCTGGAGACTGTTTGGGGAAGATAACTTGAGAGTGGTCCAAGGCCAGAGTAGATACATGGTGTGTGGGGAGGGAAATTGATCAAGGTAATTTAGATTTCCCCGAAGCATTTGTAATCCATTGGAATTCTTCAAGTATCAGAATGTATAAGTGGCCCTAACCGGTTTGGCTCAGCGGATAGAGCGTCAGCCTGCGGACTCAAGGGTCCCAGGTTCGATTCCGGTCAAGGGCATGTACCTTGGTTGCAGGCACATCCCCAGTAGGGGGCGTGCAAGAGGCAGCTGATGGATGTTTCTCTCTCATCGATGTTTCTAACTCTCTATCCCTCTCCCCTCCTCTCTGTAAAAAATCAATAAAATATATTTTTTTAAAAAAAGAATGTATAAGTGGGTACTGTCCTCAACATAGAGAAAAAGTAAAAGAAACCTGAGGACAGTGAATGAAAAATGAGTTTATATATTCACAATTGGCCATTTTTAGTGCTCTCTGTAAAAAACTTAAAAAAACTCAGGGCTTTCTGAAAGTTACATTTCAAACTCATTAAGCCTTAAAGGGAATCAGCAGGACTACATATGCCAACGTGGACAGCAACCAAGATATACATGGAAGTGAATTACAACATTGTCTTTTTGGCATGTTCCAATTAGTACTACCTGAAAAAGCATATATGTGTATACATGCATATATATGACTGTACATACATTTATATGCCTAAGAAGTGAGATGAGGGACTTAAAGGGGCTCTTCTTTATTTTTAAAACCATTTGTACTGTTTGCATTTTTACCAAGAATATGTATCATCTTTATAAGTTCAAAAGAACACCAGAAAATAATAATTCTAAAAACTCAGAATATTGCACAGTTCTTTGCACAAAGTAGGACTCAGTAAATGCTTGAATGAACGGAGGAAAGTTATTTACTTGCCCATCAGTTGGTACATGAGAAGATAGAAAGGAATATAAAAAGAAGTGAAAGAAATAGAAGGGGGGAATACAGAAATCACAGAAGCTACCTGGAGCAATTTTCACTTCCTCACAAAAGAAAAAGAAAATAGAAGGAAAGCTGCCAAAGGAAAGAGCTGATGAGCACCTTCCCCACTCTAGTGTTAGGATTTATATGACGGAATATAGTCTGCGGTCTGTTGGCCAATATTCCAATGGACTTTGCAAGTATGAGAGCCTGTAAACAGAAGGATCTTTAAGGAGCTGATCAAAGCTCTGCTGTTGGAAGGGGCAGAGCAGAGGTTAATGTTCTCCTTTTGGTGATAAAAGATGTTTTGCCATGAGACTGCATCTCAGTGAGAAGCCCAGGGATTTTATGGAAAGTGCAGTAAAACATACCGTATTAGTAATAATATATGCCATTTGCAGAACACTGCTTTCCCAAATATGACAGTTTATTATGAAATGCCTTTCCATGAAGAACAGAAGAAATTAAAGTTGTAAAACCCTACTAGGTCATCTATTCTCTCCTAGAAGGTCTAAAGCAGATTATATTCCATCATATAAATCCTAACACTTTCAATGATGTAGAAGGGGGATTTACATTAATAAATCCTAAATGAAAAACACAGACACAAAGCAGCAATACTGAATGCAAAGGAAAGAGAGCCACCTTTACTAATTCCCTACATCCCAAAGTGATTATGAGTTGCCAGCATGTGTTTTAATTTATATTAAAAAAAAGAATTACAACTTCATTGAAAGCTTAATAAATGAAGTTATCGGAGTCAAGTTAAAAAATATGTACACAAATGCTATTTTCATTGATCATTTTAGAATGCTCATGGTAGATAACCAAATTCCTGAGCAAATATGAGAGATATGGTCCTGTAGCAACCCACGTGTACCTTTATTTTTACAAGGCAAACACTCTTGGCCAAGGTGGTAAGATGGTTGAACCGAATGCAGTGGCTTTCTTGGGATTACAGCTTATTTGCTCTTCAATGAAACCCATTTATACTGATCATCTTAATTTTGTTATTTAACAATGAGGACCCTTATAGATAAGTTTTCTGTTTTATTTCACTTTAGTTTTCAGATTCTTCTATTTCCTTCCATTTTTATCCATCTGTGAAAAAATAGGATGCTTTCTAACTTTGTGGTAACTACTCACTAAATGGCCCATAGGAAAGCACAATGAGAATCCAGACTTCTTTTTATTAAATGTTCTCTTTCCTTCTATTTTTTTCTCTTCCTTAGTTATTATCTAGAGATCTGGATGTGCAAACAACTTCTTATAAGTGGCTCTTCCTCTCCTGGGCTCATTCTCCCCTTCTATACAAAGAAGAGCTAGATCAAAGGAGTGCTAACTTTCAATGGCATTGACTCTATTAAGTCTGAGTGACAAGACACACAGAAGTCTTTCTTGACCCTATTATCAACCTCACAGAGCTGAAGGCTCTCTCTAGTTAGATGCCCACACCCTGGTTGAGCATGCTTAGCCTTCAGTGCTCTCCTCGGGGTAGTGAAACTTCTCTTAAATAAAGTGAGGGCCTTCCACTCAGACTCTGGCTTGACCTCTCGGGGATCTCAGTTGATAGAGCTTATGCCAACCAACTTCTATGGCACAATAGATACTCATTTGGTAGACATAGTAGAGATTCTATTAATACTTCATGGCCTACTGAGAACTCCAGTAAAAGAACTCATAATGAGGGGCGGCCATTTCTTTTGAAGCACAGCAGTCCAGGCTCTGTAAGTTTACCCCTCAATCCCAAATCTTTCCTCAATGGATTAACAGGAAAATCAGTAATGGTGAAATTTAAGTGGGCAAGGGAATACAATGGCTACCTGACATCTATAGATGGCTATATTAACAAGCAGCTTTCAAACATGGAAGAATACATAGATGGAGCCTTGTCTGGACACCTGGGTGAAGTTTTAATAAGATGTAATAATATCCTTTATATCAAGGATGTTGAAGAAGAGGAAGAAGATGGAGAAATGAGAAAATAGCCTCTTTTGTGGGAAATATTTTGTATATATATTTCTAGACAATAAAAATTTGTTTTTTCAATTTGAAAAAAAAAAGGACTTGTAATGACAACTCACTGAAGGCTCTCCATGATCCTGCAATTGTTTCTGCTCTAAACTACACAACTACACTGTCATCTTCATGGTGCCTGTTTCAGTTAGGGTTCCCCACAGAAACAGAAGCAAGGAGAGAGAGAGAGAGAGAGAGAGAGAGAGAGAGAGAGAGAGAGAGAGAGAGAAAGAAAGAAAGAAAGAAAGAAAGAAAGAAAGAAAGAAAGAAAGAAAGAAAGAAAGAAAGAAAGAAAGGAAGGAAGGAAGAAAGAAAGAAAGAGCTCCCATACACACAAAAAGAAATTAGCTCACATAACTGTAGGGGCTGAAAAGTCTGAAATTTGTAGAGCAGGCCAACAGGCTAGAAATTCAGGTATGAATTGATGTTGCAATCATGAGGCCAAAAATCTACAAGGTAAACCTGGCATACTGAAACTCAGGAAGGATTTCCATGTTACATTCTTGGAGTCAAATTCTTTCTTCTTTGGGAAACCTCTGTCTTTGATCTTAAGGTCTTCAAGTGATTGAATGAGGCCCACCCACATTATGGAGGGCAATTTGCTTTACTCAAATTCACCTGATTTAAATGTTAGTCACATCTAAATAAATACCATCACAGCAACATCTAGACTAGTGTTTGACCAAACAACTGGGCACAATAGCCTAGCCAATTGACACATAAAATTAATCATCACAGTTTACAAATATGGCCTGCCTTTGCTACTCACATAGGCCACAATTATTCTCCTTTGAACTGGGTTATCTTGGGCTAGCTGATACTAGCCTTATACCCTATTCCTGTTCCCTAAGTCCTGCCAGATTTTTTAATACCAGGCCTACACTTTTGGTCTGCTCTTCTACTCTATTAACTGCTTCCAAAATAGCTTCAGTACAAGCTGCTAGACCAGTAACAGCAGACAACAAACAAAAAGAAGTCAGTAGCTCCTGTATTATAGCTCAGGAAATTCTTCTCCTTCAAGCTTTCCCATGCATAGGCTTTATTGGCTCCCCAAAACACTTGGCTTTGTGTACTGTCTCAGTCTCATGTGGTGCCATGCCAGGCCGTTTGCCTTATTTCTGACCTGCTATTCCCTCAGGACCCTGTTCCCAATCTTTGCTCTCCACCAACAATGGGCAAAGAGGTTCCATGTCTGTGCTCCACCATCATCTGGAAAGGAAAAACGAATAATAAATTATAGTTCTTAAAACACTTTCACATCCAGATTTCACTAACTGGTATTCTTGATGCCACCCTGAGAGTTTATAAATGAGCAAAGCCTTATTTGGTGGATGAAGAATCTGAGGTTCAGAAACAGTAAGTCCTCGGCACAGGGGCACATAGCTAGGCAGTACACATGTCCCTGCTATGGAGACCAGGACTCTGGGTTATTTCATCAAACTAGAAGCACCTTTACAAGAAGTAATATGCAACATTGTTTCTAAAAAGATCACAAAGTCATTTTTTCACCTGTCACCTAGTCATTTCTTGCTTTCTTAAAAATTGCCCACAGCATTCTTTTTCTAGGCCTTAGGCTGCCGAGATACAGAAATTCTCCTTCATTTTGTATCTCAGAATTTTAACTTGAATTTAACCTACAAAGTCATTGACTGCACAGGCTGTTTGTTTGCAATACAGTTTGCTAACAGGCACATAGTGGGTGAGTCTGGACATAGTACCTTCCATTTTGAGAAAGTACTAGGTCCCAGGTAGGAGAACCTGGCCCAAGGAATGGCCATAAAGACTTTGTAGACAGAAACTGAAAACTCACTGGGATTGAGCTAGATCCAGAACCCTCAGGCCAGGCAGGCCCAAGAAGGCTTTGAGGGTAGAGTTTTTAATGAGATGTGAGAAATAGAGGATATTAGGCAATATCAGGATGGTCCAGAAGAGGTTAATAGGGCAATATCCCCAGAAAGTAGAAATAACATACCTTAAGAGGGTCTGGTAAACAGTAGGCAGAGGTCTAGGCAAGGTTGGCAGCAGCTTCAGTAAGCAATGGCAGTAAGCAACAAGGGGCTGTGCTAGACAGTAGGCTATGAGGCATCATTGAGTGTTGGACACAAGCCATAGACAGCTCTCTCTTCAGATAAGCTGACGGGCAAAACCAGAGAGTTCTGGCCGTGAACACATACAGATCTGAAGATAAATGGTAAAAGCAACAGAATTCCAGTCTTCAAAGGAAAAGGATACCAAGTATGAAGCTAAGGCAGGGGCCCAGGCTCTCTGGTAAAAAAGAGTAGGTAACAGACAAAGAATGAGCTCCTGGGTATCGAGGAAAAGGCCAGGGAATGGTTACAGGAAGGCATCAATAATCTATTTATAGCTTGGTTGGTGTTGCTCAGTGGTTGAACATTGGCCCATGAACCAAGAGATCATGGTTTGATTCCTGGTCAGGGTACATGCCCAGATTGTGGGCTCAATCCCCAGTAGGGGGGCATGCAGGAGGTAGCTGATTGATGACGTTTCTCTCATTGATGTTTCTATCTCTCTATTCCTCCCCCTTTCTCTCTCTAAAAACAATAAAAACATATTTTAAACACAATCTATTTATAGTAGGACTGAGGCATAGTCTGAGAAGGACTTAGAGTTACACTGCCTCAATGACCCTGGACCCTTTAAATCTCATTTGACTATAAATAGGATGGAGCTCAGAGTCTTGCTGAGTGGGGTGAAGTAGGATGATGGCCTACATTTGGAGGCACAGACACACATCTATAAATAAAGGAGGACTAAGGGAGCATGAAGTCAATAGTCAATCCCCTTATAGGGCTTGTGGACTACAGAGAAAACTTCCCTAACCAGAAGAAAACCTATAAGGAAAGCCCAGTTATACCTGTCACTACCTTTCTGATCTAGGGATCATGAGATGTGGATCTCTCTTTCTCATTCCACAGGGTATCAGTAAGAACCCTCCAAAGCTAAAGCAGAAAGAAACATAACACTAAATATCTCATAATCCTAGAATGGGATAGCTGGAAGAGTTCAGCCCCCAGCACTAAAAAAGTGGGGAACCTGAGATCTAGAGTCCATTCAAAGACCTGCCCAAGATCAAATAATCAATAGAGGCTGGGACATAGATTTCCTGATTCTCGGCTCGAAGTTATTTCTATTAAACCCCCAAAATAAATAATCCAATAAACACAGAAATTGGAAGACAGCTTTATGACAGACCAATTTCTATCCATGCTTTGGACAATCAAACTGACTTATCTCATTTGATTTCAAAACACACATACATAGATGTAGATTTAGAGGGTAGAGAGACAGCAGCCATCTGTATATACTAGTATAAAAGGCTAAGCAACTGTCAGACCATTCAACCAGTAGCTATGATGTGCAATGATCACCAGGGAGCAGATGCTCAACGCAGGAGCTGCCAAGCTGTGGTGACTTGGCGGCAGCGGTTCTCGGGTGATGCACCCCAGAACCAGAGAGGAGGGAGCCCGATTCTGGGATGCGTCACCTGAGAACCACCCTCTTGCAATCTGGGACCCCTCAGGGAATGTTGGAGAGCCAGTTTTGGCCCAATCCCTGCAGGCTAGTCTGAGGGAACCCCATCTGCTGGAGGGACCCCACAGACGACCTTCAAGCCATGGCTCTGTCCCAGGTGCTTGGGAGGAATGGTGGGAGGTTGGCTCCAGGGTGTGTCCGGCCTGTCTTGCCCAGTCCCGCCCTGCCAGCCACCTTCTAATTAATTTTCTTTCAATGTTCACAAATCCGTGCACCAGGGCACTAGTCATATATAATAAGTTAACTTACCTTCCAAAACCTGACTTGCTTTGTAATTTGAAAAATAAAGACCTATAATATGTACCCCACCACAAAATGTGCTATATATAGTAAATTTCAGAAGCATGTTAATCTCAAAATGCCAGTATTTCCCTGTTGCTATAGCTATGGCATCTGGTTAAATCAGAGTTCAGCAGCAGTAAGCAATGCTAACATTGATCCCAGCCAATTTTGTGCTTTGCTTCTAATGCAGGATGAGGAAAATGGAACAAAACAGTCACTTTCTCTTCCACTCCCTCCCAGGAGCAAAGTCCCTTAGCTAGTCAGGATTAGACAACATATTGACACCCCAACTAGCACCAAAAAACTGGACTCATGAGTACCAAAGTATTGATTTCATGGTACAAGCAGCTCCAGGTTTATAACTGGGAGCTACATGTTCAGGAAGTGCTAATATGCCAAGTTGCAATCTGCTCAATCAGAGAATTTTTTAAATATATTTTTAATCTATTTTTTTTACAGAGAGGAAGGGAAAGGGATAGAGAGTTAGAAACATCGATGAGAGAAACATCGATCAGCTGCCTCCTGTAAACCCCCCACCGGAGATGCACCCGCAGCCAAGGTACATGCCCTTGACCGGAATCAAACCTGGGACCCTTCAGTCCGCAGGCTGACACTCTATCCACTGAGCCAAACCGGTTAGGGCGATCAGAGAATTTTTATGCTTAATATAGTTGAAAGCTTGAATATCAATTCCTTTTACAAACATGCCATTTGAGGATTAATGGACAGCAAAAAATGAGGGCTTTCAAATGGATTCATCACTTTGGGCTCCATAGCTTTCCATTTGGAAATTTTCATTTTAAACTCCTATTATTTGAGGGCTTCTTTTATTTGTGTTTCAAAAGATGTTGTCTTAGGTAGGTTTCTCAGGTTTATGCACTGGTCCATTAATGGGCCTAGGCCCATTTTTTTAAAAAAGGGAAAATAGCAGATTTTCTGTACTCTTTTCTCATGTGTTAATTTTCTCTTGAAATTTGGTATGTTTTATGGGTAAACATATTCTAGAAAATACAATCTATATGTAAGTTTAAATGGGCTTTTCAAAAAAAATTATTCATACACAGCTATTGAGCTTGTTCCATTGATGTTTAAACAAATTGATAATTGATACTTCCTTGTAAAGAAGTTCTGATAGCCA